ACATTTGTCTCCTACAATTTTATCCATTTTTTTCCTTCACTCATTTACAACAAAAAAAGTTTACCTTCAGAAAATAAGAGAGCAGGCTTATTTTTTTAGAGGAGGCTTACTGGGTGCGCTTTTGTTGTGCAATAAGAAGTTGTGCTCCAGTATATAAGCTAACATCTCAAAATAAATACTTCACAAAAAAATAAAAATACTGACTGTATTCCACAGAACCATAGGATGATTTCAGTTGGAATGGACCCTAAAAAATCACCAGGTTCCAGCCCCCCTCACCATGAGCAGCATTATCACCCACCAGACCATTTAGGGCTTAAAGGGCTGAGATAACAGCAGATCTGACTGGATCAAGTTAACACAGGATTCTGTGGTGGTTTTCTGGTCAAAATGTTAGTCTTTTGCCTATTTACGGAGCTCTTTGGGTGCAGGACTTTGCATTGGCCTTGTAGAACTTTAAGAGGTCCATATGGACTCACCTTTCAAGGTTCCTTTGGATGATGTTCCTTTCCTCCACCACACAACATGGTGTAATTCGAAAACTTGCCGAGAATGCATTCAATCCCATTGTGTATGTCACCAACAAAGATAGTAAACAATACTTGTCCCAGTACAGACCCATGAGGGATATCACTCATTGCTGAAATTGAGCCCTTGACTGCAATTTTTTGAATGTGATCATTCAATGGTCCATCTATTAAATCCATGCATCTCAAACACAGAGACAAGAATGGTATGCAGGACAGTACCACATGATTTGCACAAACCCAAGTAGATGGCATCGTTTGCTGTAATCTCATTCTAGAAGGCCACCAAATTTTTCACATACAATTTGCCCTTAATAAAACAGCACCCATGGTGGCTGTCACAAATCACTTCTTCGATCTCCATGTGCCTTAACATAGTTTCCACAAAGATTTGCTCCATGAGCTTGCCAGGCACTGAGGTAAAACTGACTGCCTGTCTCTTTCTTTATTCCCTCCTTAAAAACTGGCATTATGTTTCCCCTTTTCCAGTCACTAGAAACTTCACCAGCCTTCCATGACTTCTGAAATCTGATGGACAGTATCTTAGCAACTTCATCTGACAGTTCGTTCAGGTACATCCCATAAAGGTCCCAGGGACTTCTGCACTTCAGGTTCCTTAGACAGTACTGAATTTGATCTTCTCCAACAGTGTGCTCACCATTCATACTTCATTCTACCAGTCTCTGCCTTAGAATTCTGGGAGTTGAGTAGTTCAGATAGAACCAGTTCTTCTTCTGAGATAAAAAAAAGTCACTGATTACTTCAGTAATTTTTATTCATGTTCTGCGTAAACAGGTCTCCCATTTCCTTATGCTTACGGTCTGCTCACTTTTGCTTTATGATTTGTTCTGAACATGGATGCCATTTGTTGCCTCCTCTACAAGCATTCTGCTACAACTGAGGCCAATCTTACCACTTACCACCCCCAACCTTTCATCAGTCTATCTCATATCTTGCATCTAGAAAAAAAAAAAAAAAAGCAGAGGTAGACAAGAATGCTCCACTAAGGAAATCTATCATAACTCTAGATAAATTAAGCCAAAATAAAGTAACATTAAAAAAAAAAAAAAAAAAAAAAACAACCTTTCATATTACAAAAAACAGAATACATTTCAGTTTTGAGCTCAGATTCCTGTTTTATATGAAATGGCTCATTCCATCACAATCTCCATTGCACAATCCTCAAAGCAACATCTTGAAGACCAAGCGAGTATATATTTACTGACTGCTCCTGCCATTGTTACAAGCACTATTGTAAGCATCTACTTGTATGTCATTTCTTACTCATATTCACAGTGTGCTATTTCTTTCCTCAAGTCACCTGACAAATCCGTATGGTGTCTGATCCTCTTGGTACCACTGTCCCTAGCATGAAAAACAAACCTTCAAAATAGTTAGCTTCACCAGCACCATCTGTCAGTAGCTCTTTTCAGCAGCAGTCTTTCCTATCCACCTCACACATCAGAAAAGTAAGATCTGTGGTAAGGATAGATAATCCAGGCCCACCAAAAGTAGTAAGGGAAGCAACTTGTTCTAAGCAGGATAGAAAAACAGTGCTTAAAACACTCAAGCTTCATGTTTAGCTACCTGCATCAGCTCTCCCATTCTGACTGCAGACTTTTCCACACATCTCCAAAAAGTCAAAACCCCAGGAACAGAGTATTGTCCAATCAGAGAAAGCTGCCATGATTCCAACATTAATAAAAGGTTTATGTTTTGAAGAATACCTAAGATAACCTTCTTGCTTCCCCTCCTCACAACCTCCCCAAGAAAATAAAAGTTCCTTAGCTCTAATCTTGAGTTTCTTAGCTCAATCTCAAAAACAAGAGAATTCTAAAAAGTCCACACAGACACAAAATATATATATATATACACATAAATTTCACTCACTCCGAAGACAAAAATTACTTCTAGCATTTGTTCCATCATTACTCACTTATAAGCAGCTCGGTTTAGAGAAACATTATGTGTTAATTCTTGCCGTATTTAAAAATATGAACTATTAGAAGAACCCAGAACAGAATTATCTATTATAATTTTCTGTACTTTGTGTGAGAGCTAGATTACTTTTTCTTTTTTGAAAGTGTTCCCAAGAAATGCATGCTACTGCTGTGATTACTATGCAAAGAAAGCCATAGCCACGACAATTCTGTGAAGCAGAAGGAGAAACAGATGAAACAAAGGGTTAAAGATCATTTCCTGTCCTGAGCTTGTGAAGTTCTTAAGAATTCTCCAAAGGGTCAGGTAGACAGGATGATTTATTTCCATTGGAAAATGCACACCAGAATTTTATCTTTTTGTCCTCACAGGACATCAAAGGATATATGTAGAACTTAAATCTCACCATGGTATTGCTTTACACGTGAAGGTTATTCTTACTTCATAGAAGATTGAACTTGTTAATTCAGAGGAACATCAAAAGGGATACTGAACAAATGAATCCTTCTGTTGTTGATCACGCTAAGGGGGACTGTAGCAACATTTCCTAGGCAAGTGCTATTCCATTTTCCCCTGAACAATTCTAGGGACAGCCTGGCTCTCAGAAAGGAAAACTGTCTTTATACATAAATTGTAAAGCAGCCAGCAACTCAACAAAACAAAACCAGAAACAACATTCTTGGGTTTATTAGCCATCTCATATAAAGAATCATCGTAGATTTTACCGTTACTAAGAACATTTTAGCAGGAATTAAAACCTGACATAGCAGTTCTCCTACAGAAAGCCACAGGTTTACTGATGCAGAAACTTCATTTTTCAGCTGCCTCTATGTTAGCTAAAAATTTCTACAGAGTAATTTCTACTGGAAGTAGAAAAATTTTCTCCTCTTCCGATTCCCGGCAGTTACTCCCTGGAAGCTAAACATTTAAAGAGTAAGAGTCAGGGCAAACAATTTATATATTTTGTACAAGCATGACACGTATTTCAACACAACACTAATTTTGCACTGTTCCAAACTGAGTAATACAGTTACTGTATTACTAAATTAGACTCCCATCATCCTAAAATAGCATAGCTCAGTAAGTATCAACCGCTGACTTGTTATTTTTACAGAAATAATTACCTTACTATTTGCACAAATACAGTGCAGTCTAAATAAGGAAAACTACTTTTCATCATATCAGTAAACCTAACCTAACCAGTAACCTAAGGCACACCTTGCCTGAGGGATATTTTTGTGCTGTATTTTTTGGCACAATCAGCTCTTTGAAAGATTCATCAAATAAATATCAGATATAGCTGCCCCCCTTCTCTCAAAAGGCAGCCTTTCCTAATCTGCTACTTTACATAAACAAAGCAGGATCTACTCTGCCACAAGAAAATTATTTGTTGACTCTCTGCTGACACATATGCAAAATTTATGTCAGCACACTCAAATTCCAGCAACAACTTGTCAAACTCAGCGATGTGGCAGTCAGCAAGGACACATATTGAAATACAACAGTATTCAGAATGAAGACAGCCAAACAGTAGAGACACAAGTGCCATGCCCATTACTAGTTACACCACACAATGCAGAGAGAGAACACTCCACACAAATCCTGACAATCTACGAACATGACCTGCCCGAATTCACTACTATGGCTTTACTTTCCTTCAAATTTTTTTTTATTTTCCTGAGGATTTTTACTACTGAAACACTGTGTGCTCATAACAATGGAGTACTCCTTTCTCTTTTGATCCAGGTGCAGCAGACCAGCACAGCAAAAGGGGCTAAACAGCACCTTAAGGTTGTGTGCGAGGGAGAACATTATTTAGTACAACAAATGGGGGGAAACTGATGAACAGACTGACAGCACAGCTGTCACTTGGAATCAACAGTGAATGCATAAGCAAGACCGAATTAAGAGACACCTGTACTTAAAATTACAATAGTAACATCCTATACAAGGAGGGAACAGGTACAGATAGAACTGTAAGTGCCAAATGCTATTATGTAATTATACTCTGAAGAAGCATTACTGTCTGAGAGCATACATTAAAGGGTAGGGCTCCAACTGAAGGTGTTTGTAAGCAACTAGTCCAGCCAAATAGCTGTCAGGGAGTATGAATGAAGCATATCTAAATAAATATTAAGGAGACTGAAAATACTATTTAGTTACTGAAAAAAAAAAAAAATTCCACAGGCAGTTACATAAAGATTCATCTCTACAGCTAACTCTCTCTACAGCTTACAGTTGTATAGAACCAAGTATAACAGCACTTTAGTCACTATGCAAAATAGATTAGGATACCACAAAAGGAATTATTAGTCAAGGATATGACAAGTTTTGTTGTTGTTTTTCTTTTTTAAAAGGCATTAGAAAAACAAGTGCTTATTGTCCTACCAAAGTATTTAATAGCTTCTCCACAAATTCAGGATTCCTTCCCTAAATAATTCTAAGACCATTCCATCACTTGATAACTGTTTAATAGCAGTAGTAGCAATATGCTATTTAATTTCAGAAGATATTTAACCAGTTCAAAATACTTACATCATAAGACAGGGAAGCCCTTTATTGATCAAAAGCACTACAGGTAGCTAAAAGAATATTTCATTTCCTTACCAGAGGGAATATCTTAAGTTTTATCCATCAGAGAACAATTCCTTTTTGTAAATCTTTCAGATGCAGAAACCCAGGTGGTCTTCATTCACCTATTATCTCATATACTCATATATGCAGTTATCAGTACCAACAATTATCCAGATCAGTCTCTTACAAGCTATGCCACGAGAGGATTTATGGTTTTTTTTTTTTTTCTTTCCAGTTCAGACCTTTCCTACCCAGGTAGATAAAGCTTAGAAGTAAAGTTCAAAACAAGCTCTTGGAAAGTTAGAGGATTACCCATGTCTCCACATGAGGAGAGAGCCTAACACCTGCTACAGTTATCTTACCTCCTTCCAAGCATGGAGGAACTGAGAAACCCATCTGAACTTTCTTCTAGACATACTGACTGAAGGGCAGGAAACTGAACACAAAACTCTTTATAGAACAATACATTCCCTCTTCTCTTCTACCACTCCCACAGAAGAAATCCTACACACTCCCCACACGCATGCTCTTACCTGTTACATATGCTCTGGAGCCTTTCCAGAACAGTTAGCCCTAGCAGCCAGGCACTGCCTTTCATAACAGCTGCTTCTGATCAGCTGCACAACCACAGGTGGGTAAATACGATGCTCTATGAGGTACTAAGAAGCCTCATAATAATCCAAAAGCCACCTAATTTTGCTCATAAGTATTGCCAATGCAGCATTTACAGGCCTGATTGTTTTTAGAACTTTCTCATAGCATACTACTTCATTCTTCTTACCTGTTTCTGTGAACAGCTCTTCAAGACTTACAAGTCTTGTACAAGACAGTACAAGTAAAATCTAGGTGTGAGGACACGAACCCCTCACCCTAGCAGTGTGATATGTTCCCACTGATCCCACATCCTCCCTGAATTATGCATCCTCTTTTAGTTTTGATTGTGTCTAGATGAAAATGCCATTAGGAAACAAGAAGAAAGAAGGGCAAAGGTTAAAAGACTTTTTTTTCTTTTAATATATTTTTCAGTGTTTGTACCCTGTGTTGAAGTGCAACAATGCTCTCAAGATTATTGACAGAAGAAACATTTAAGTATTTTTTTTTTTTGTAGAGAAAGAAAGACATCATTTAATAGTTTTGTTTTTTTTTTTTTTTTTTGTCAGAAAACATAAAAGAATTTAAGATATTAACTTCCCTGACACATTGATTAGTTGTGACCATAAAGACAACAGCAAAAAAACACATCATTGATTTCATTAAGTAATTTTGGAAACCTTTTAGTGCTACATAAGAGAACTATCTACAGTAGAGAGTTGGAACTCATCTGTCTGCTGGGAAGAAAAAGAAATACCACATCCTTGGAATTCCATTCAGTGCTTAAAAGCATAGAGAAATAGTGGGGGTGAAGATCATCTCTTATTGTTCATCTCAGCCAATATTGTGCGATTTAGTTTGAGATTATATCCGTAAGTAGAATTATTTGTCCCTACCTCAATAAGCAAAAGTAAACATGAACATAGCCATAGAACAGCAAAGCCTGCTTCCTGGTAACTCTCTGTAACTTTGCTGGCCCATTGGTACCTTCTGGAAGAAGGAATCATTTCTCATCACAGCACGTAGGAGCAGTGCTCAGTGTAACATTCATTCCCAAGAGTTTTGGATTCCTGCCGCAGACCTTTGTCATGCAGAAGCACTAAGAGCAGCTCTAATAGTGTCAGCCACCTTTCTTACAAAACCTGCAGAAACAACTCAGAGCTCTGCTCCTTCAGCAAATCTTCAGCCAGAATTACTCAGTGAAATTTCAGAAAGATTATTTTCTTTCTTTTTTTTTTAAGCAAGAACAAAAAACAACCCTAAAACAGCAGTTCAGATCAAACTATCAGTTAAGATCTGGCTTACCCCACTATCTTCTTTCTCCAAGGTTCACAACACTATTCTGCAGGAATGCAGAAAACATTCTTAAACCATTCTAAATGCAGGTGTCCTAGATCTCAGAAAAATCACCTGATGCTCAGTCTAAACAACTGGGCACACCTTCTTAGAAGTTTTGTAAATTTACCATTTCCAGTATCCCCACAAATTTTTCCAGCAGGAACTCTTAAGAAATATTATCTGTACTTGCTAACAACAAACTCAACTCACTCAATCTGATTGCTTATTCTAGTTACACTGAAACACAACGTGCCAACTAATACACAAGAAGTCTATCATGGTGACAGTTATTTATCTTAAATAAAATTGCAATAGCAAAGAAATTCCATTTCACCTTCTCCCTTCAAAGAGAGGTCATTGGAGAGAGTTACACTATTTTTTTTATTTGCCTGTCATTCCCATTCTTTTCATTAAGGTGGTTTATTTAGTATTTCTCAGCATAACACTACTTCTTCTAATCCTCTTAACTGGGAGATGAAAAGAGCACAGCCCAGAAGGATCCTCAAACAGATGGAAATGGAGCTGTGGCAGGTTACAGCTCTCTGCTGTATTAAAGGACTCATTAACCAGAACTGTTTCCATGAGCACTGGACACAGTGAGTTCATAGACACTGTGTGTGTCTCCCTACCTCTACTGCAGCAGCACAATACTGAAAAATATTCAGAGATTAAATTCCCACTAACTTCATGAGTTAGACAGGCAGACAGGTTAAGCAGAATTCCCCTATGAAGAGAAAGTAGCAGCAAGAACAATAACTTAATTAGAAAATGAAATTGGGGTAGTGGGAGGAAGATTGAGAGAAACCACAACTGCTTCTTCCTTGGGAAAAGGTTTGACCAAAACTCATACAGTATGGATCCCATTGAATCCAAAGGTCATGCAAGCTAAAAGAGGTCAAATTTCAAAGTTTCCATAGTTCAGCTCCCAAGAAAAGTACTTGGTTTGTGATCAAATGCCAGCACGTGTTGCTTCAAGGGATGTCATAAAAATTCTGGCTTCAACCACAGCCTCTGTAACTTTTGAGTTACAGCCCATAATTCTGCACTTATTACTTTAGCCACTTAGCCAAAGAAGTCATTGGGACCTGTTTCCAAACAAATTATTGATGATTAGCTCTTGTGCCTTTTCATATCTATATCTCATCTGTGACGAGAGCAGTGTTAGAAGAAAAACAAACATAGTAGCAGAGCTGGAATGATTTGCTTTCCATATTTGATGTCTACTTCTCAATCAAAAAAATAAGAATAGAAGATCAAAATATAGTTTTGTGTCTCATCCATCTATATGGATATGACCTCAGAAACTGGGTATTAGCAAAGGTCTCACCAACATAGAAGGTGGTGCTCAGTCTTGCACTCAAGAGATATTTTATCTGCTATAACTACAACCTATCTTTTATATTTGATAAAAGAATTGCATGAGAAGTGTGGAACAGATATTTCCCAAGTTTTGTCTCTTTTCTTTCTCTGAATAGAGAAAACATTGTATTAAGTGGTTACTGACTCAAAATACACAAAATATTTCCCTTATTCCCTTACTTTTATGTCTTGTGACTGAGAGCTGTTTAGGACATTTATGGCTGCCTTAAATCTGAGCAATCTTTTGGAATCTCTCCCTAGGTCAGCATCATACCTCAGAAGACTTACTCTTGCTGACAAATGTTCCACAAGCATTTTCTCAATGGTAGATTTTTTCTTTTTTTTTTTCTTTCTGAAATGCAAGCAACACCTAAAACGTGCTGTGAGAAGCCATAATGTGATGAAAAAAATTTCCTTTGCAATCATAGCACGTTCTCTGACTAGACACATTTTTAGCACAATGTGTGAAGAAGGGAATAGATTTATCCATCAGTATTAAGTAAATACATTAACAGAAAAAAAAGAAAAGTCAAAACTTGTGACCTTATATTTATAACAGTGATTTTCTTTTGTGAAGAGATCTAATGTCTTTTTCATCTTATTTTTGAAAAACCTACTGTATTATTAATTCCAGTGTTAAAGCAGAAGTGAATACATCATTATAAAATCTTAGCCATACTTTCCATTTGCCAAAAATAGCTGAAGTTCAACCCAACACAAATATTTGGAAGGCATCACTTATATTTGCAAAAAAAAAATTTACCAAGCTCAAAATATCTAACATAGATGTTATTCAGTTTTTCTATCAAATTTTATGCGCTGCAAGAAACAGATTGTACCAATTGCTTTATCAATCACACTGGCAGTTGATAAATACATTATGCAGGAATATTTCTCTTGTAAGGAAACATTTGAAGTTCAAAAACCAAAGAAATTGGAAGGGAACCCAAATAAATCATAGCACAGCAGTCTACTTTTTTAGAATTTCAAAGATCTTCCTTCCTACATACTACCAAAATCATCTTTTAGTTCAGTTGACTTCTTTGCACCTCTTCAGTAGCTTCCAGTTTATAAAATATCTGATGGTATCACCTTTGAGACTGTGTAACCCAAATACACAATGGGTAACAGGAAAGGTCTGTTTACTATGTGCACATACAAGCAGATGCTTATAAAATAAATAGATGTGCATATATTCCCATACGCATTTCTATTTAATTCGTATTTTATGCATGACTATGCTCGACTCCACTCCACATTTTCCTCCGTACTGTTTCCATCTCCATGTGCACTGGAATCAATCAGCTTTGGTCTCAGTGGTTCTATTAGTTTTTATTTTCCAGCATTTTCTAAAAGTGGCTCCTCATGTCTTGTATAAATAAAAGCAGCATTTTACAGGAACAATAGATTTACAGCTTTAATAAGACTGCCCTCCTTCCTGCATTAAAGTCTACATGACAAACCAGGTTAAGCAAGCTGGTATCAAATCTGAAGCCAAATACCTTTTTGAGCCAGACATTAATTCTCTGCAGAGCTTCAGGCTTATTTTCAAGATGTTAAATTATTGATAAGGAAAATCAATTATTTTTTCAGCATGAGCAATGTCATACAGTTACATTATATACAACAATAGCTAAAGTAGTTTTTCTATCTTATTAACTTTAGGACACTTTAGAATTAAATTATCTACCTTTTCTTCTTTAGAATCCAGATAAAGAGTCACTAGGGACAGCCTCGCAACTTCTGTT